GGTGGGCCATAATAATCATATACATTGTATATTGACAAAATAAAAAAATTTAAAAAAAAAATAATAAAAAATAAAATAAAATAAAATAAAATGATTTATGAATGCTAAATCTAACCCTTAATATACAATGTTTTTCATTTAGAAGTTGATACTCTTATTAAGCTAAGTTTATCCTTCTAAAAATAAGAAAATGTGGTAACCCTTTATGACACAGTATCATTGGATATATAAACAGCACTTTCTTAATGGGAAGACCTGTTAGAACTATTTTCCCCATAACATTTATCCTTTCCCCATCAATAAATCATTTACAATGTAAAATTTCAAATGGTAAAGTTTCAAAGGCTTACTACAGAAATTTTCGTTTTATTTTGATACATAAGTGGAACTTACAAAATGCTGCACTATCTTTTTTAGAGAATATAAAACAAGACATGTTCAGAAATAAGCCACCTGACTTTAGCTAATTTCGCTTAAGCTAAATATCTCCATCTTTTCACCCGTGGCGAAAACTGATTTACATATATAACCAATTTACTAACTTGCCAAGGTTCCACAATTACAGATTAATTTTTACTAAAAAGAATTGTAACATAAATAAGTGAAATTACTTTTAAAATAAAATAAAAGCATGCATGAATTAAATGTACAAGCATATCACTTTTTACTTTCATTTAAGCCAAGTGTGCTGTAGGCTAAAGTTATTTAGACAAGATGCATGAGCCACATTTTACACTTTAACAGAAATTTCAGGACATAAAGTATAACAATATTCTCTCTCTACTTTATTGTTCAAATCAACATATTTTTACCTGAAATACATCATTTATAAAATAAAACAGATTCTGCAACAATACCAACATATTAGGAGAGTTCTTTAAATTAGTTTTTAACGGTTGTAGTGGAGTCAATTTTCCTCATTATCTACAGGAATTTAGCACACTCTTAGTTCTTTAATACCACCAAAAATGTAGTACGGATAAGTAAATATTATATGTTTATTCAAGAAAAAAGGACTTACTTTTGATTTCAACCTAAGCCAAAAGTGAATTTTGAAAATATATTTTAAAATATCCTCTCAACCACTGTTAACACACTCCTTTCCTTTACGCTTTCACACTGGAAGTGTCCAGGAGTTACAATTTTCCGTGCTGCCATAGATCTTTCTATTGGGCAGCCATCAATCATCTTCTTTCTCAATATAGGTCTTTGCATTAACCCGCGCCATTTGCCTGGCCAAGTACCTGTCTCTAGCAAACATTACAGTTTCTTCATTGTTCCGCTTCGCAAACTTGCTCACTGCCTCAGGTGGTCTCTCTTGTTCTTTCACCTTCTCTCGCCTTTCCTCTGTGAGTTTGTGTTTTGTTCCCAGTGATGTTTCAGAACTAGAGGGTTTCTCTTGGTTTCTTTCCCTGTCCTTTTCCATGTTGCTCATTTTGTTGGATCTTTCTTGGTCAAGAAAACTACCCTTTGTCCTAGAATTTGGGCTGCTTTCCTTTCTGTCTTGACTTCTTTCTGAAGATTGAACACTTACTTCTCGTTTTTCCTTATCTCTATATTTATCATTATTTTCATTTCTTTCCTTCCTTACTTTCACATGTTCTTCCTTTTCTTTGCTTTTCTCTTCCTTCTCTTCTCCTTTCTCACTGTGTCGATCATGATCACTTTGTTGTCTATCTCTTTCTTGTTCTCTTGGGAAATCTCTCTCCCTGTCTTTCTCTCTTTTCCATTCTCTGTCATTTCCTTCTCTTTGGTCTCTTCCCCTCAGTTTATCTTGTTCATGCCTCTTCCAGTGGAAATCTCTATGACTGGCCTCTCTGTGCCTATGAGGATTCTTCTTTTCTTTTCGGTAATCATGGTCAGTGTAATAGTTCTCTCGGTCTCTTGACTGACTCTCTTGGTGCTGACCTTCTCTTTTCTCATGTCTACTTGACTTGGAACTTTTTGTGTGGTGTTTGACACCATGCCCTCTTTCTTCACTAGATGACCTTGAGTGGGTTTGATTCCTATGATGCTTGGCATCATTCTCAGAGGTTTCCATGGCCTTTTCCCTTCTGCAGTTCACTTTATTTTCTTCCATTTTGTCATCCTCACTGCTCTTAGCATCCAAGTCACTGTCTGCATCTAGATTTTCCTCTACTTTCACACCAGTACGGAAAACACATTTCTCCTGTGGTATTCTGTCCTCTGAACTTACTTCATTGGAGCAACTCCTTGATTTCTCTTCCTTTATCACAGACCTTTACAAAAATAATAAGCAAAATAAAAAAATAACAAACACCAAATGCCACATTATCAATGGTAGTAAGCCAGTGAAATGTTCATATAATTTTTCTCAATACTTGAATTAATAAAACTAAAATTATATACACTGTCTGATTATCCAAATGCAAAAAGGTGCTGTATATATATTACCTTGTAAATATCTGCAAACTAGTGTTTTCAAAGCATTCAGAGTATTTTCAATATTTGCAGAACTGAAATAAAATCTGCCCCTCTCTACTGGACCACTAGGACCTTCAGGCAGGGGTCTATGCAAGGTCTTCATTTTTTGCTAAGCCTAGACAAAGAATTATATTCTGGATCTAAGTTCTTTTTGCACAACATGAAGTTCAAATTGTGACTGTGCTGGATTTTCTTCCTTTTAAAAAAATTACAAAAATAGTCCCAGAAATACATGAAGATAATTTTTTTCACAGCAAAATAGTGAGAAATCTAATTCCAAATATTACTAATTCATCTCTCATGCACCAGCATCCTGATATACTCCTTGGCACTTATTGCAACAAAATGGAAATATATAAATCTGTCCAGCTGTTAGAATCAACAGCATGAAAATTATTTATATCATCTACATTTTTCCAGCTGATAAGTATGCTTAATTTATTTACATACTCACACATCCATTCTTAGAGCACACTACTTTGGTTTTCTAGGAATTGTCCACAGTTCTATCTTGACTAAAGGACCCACTAATCATTACAAATTTGATTATTAGACTCTGGGAAGTACAATTATATAAATGACATGAAGTTTCATGGTTGGTGTCATAACTATTCCAGATGTAACTCGAACAGAAAGTCATAATGTACTATAATTTCCGTCCAAAAGCTTAACCTTCAAATATACTTTAACTCATACTTTTTTGTCAATTTTGTAATCAAAACCTAGCAGTTTAGGGAGTGGGGCATAAACCAAATTCCCTCTCCTCACCCTTAGTTCCATTCTCTTACTTCTCCTCTTTCCCCAAGAACACAGACTCAGATCTCCTAATCAGTGTTTCTGTTCAAAAAAAAGTTTGCTTAGATACAGGTTTAGAACAAATTCTCCCTTTTATCTTCAGCTATATGTTATGGCATAACCATTTTGCCATTCCTATAATACCTTATAACCTTACTCAAAAAGCCTCCAATCGCTTACTTTCTCAACAGTATTGTTTAATAGAAATGTCTGTAGAAAGGGTAATGTCCGTAATTTGAGCTGTTCAGTATGGCAGTCACTGACCAAATATGGCAACTGAGTACTTGAAATGTGGCCATTGTGACTAAAACTTTATTTATTTATTTTTATTGGTTATGAATATTCATGATACAAAACTGATTGTCACCCCTCATGCCCAAGATGTGAAGGCCAGATCCATACTGGCAGCATGCCCATTACCACAAATTGTGATTGTACCCTGTGTCCCCCACCCAATTATCCCCTGTAACTAAAATTTTAGATTTTACTTATTTTTAATTAAATAGTCACATATGACAAGTGGCTATGTAGTGAACAGTACAGTTCTAGCCCCTAATATGTAAATTTTACATTTTATGGAGGTTGGGTCCTACTTATGAAAATAAACCACTTTCCTTTTTATATACTATCTAAACATGTATGTAGGATTACATTGTAGAACACCTGATTCTTCCCAAATTTCTCCTTAATTCTGGCAGCACACATTCTAAGGCACCAGGGCCAGGAGGGATACCTACCTATACTTTCAATTAAAAAAATAATAATAATAGTAATAATAAGACCATAATCTGGTTTTGCTCCCTCTTGAAGGTCAAATATAAGACCCATAAAGCACTTAGATATTCAGATATTTTGTACTTTAAATGTTTTAAGTCTTTGGATTTACAGGAATACTAAACTCAATCACTGAGAATGTTTTATGGAAACTGTAACAATTTTGTGAACTGCAGAGTAAAAATGATCTTGAACTAAATCTGCAGATTTTTAAGTGAAGAAACTGCAAATTCCTAGCCATTTATTCAATTAAGTGAGGGTGGCTGACAACACAACATGTAATGCTGGAATCCTGCATCTTTCAGAGAGTTAAAATGACCCCACGATCACAGATTATTAACAGTGTCTTTCCCCTAATCATTTCACATGCCACCTCTCACCTGGCTTCACGAAAGCTGCATTTAGGTACTTCTTCTTCACCAACTGCTTGATTTAACAGATGCCTGTAAAATCCACTGAGATCTTTCTGCTTGGTTACATCCAAACGTGCTAAGAGAGGGAAAGCAAAAGTGAGAATATATTCAACAAAGCACAGCGCAACTATGTTTTACAGGCATACAGTACATAACACAGTGTGCAAACTATCCTCAGATCAGCAAACCATAGCCTAAAGGCCAAATGTGGCCTGCTACATGTTTTTGTAAATAATTTTTTATTGGAACACAGCCCTGCTCATTTATTTATGTATGAGTATTGTCCACGGCTGATTTTGTACTACATAAGCAGAGCTGAGTAGTTACAACAGAGATCATATGTATGAAAAGCCTAAAATATTTATTATCTGTTCCTTTACAGAAAGTTTGCTAACAGGTGCTCAGATGCTAGATGAACACACAGAACATGCTCAGACAGAATCTTATAGATTTGGTTTTCTTCCACTTAAAAATTGATAAGCACCTGATAAGTAAATTAAACTTAGATCTTGAGAAATAACGATGAGTAGAAAGCACTAAAGCACTAAGATGTTCTTTAGCCCCTGTACATCATTATTCTTTCCTCAATTATTGTTATTCTTTTTCTAACTGCCCAATTAATGCTCCTTGAGTGGTGTTACACTAGATTTTCTCATCCCCCAAAATATAGGGAGGGTTTAAAGTTATTACATTGTTTCTGACAAATGTGATGGTGTTATACTTTGTAATAAGTGTTTTTACATTTGGAAACATGTTCTAAGGCAATGATTTGTCATGATCATAGGTTTGAGTAACAAAATAAGAACTAAGTGAACCCAAAGGTTCAGTGATGTAGCAAACAGCCAACCACAAAGCAGGGATTCTGCTGCTGTTTCCTTCTACCTTTACCTGTCTTCCATTTTACCTTCTAGAGCAGCAGCCCTCTTTTCTCTTTCTTCCTCTTCAGCTCTCTCTTGAAGTTTTTTCTTATAAGCAGATGTCACAAATGCCTCTTTATCATCAAATTCTCCCTTTTCCATTTCTCGTTCTCTCTGTATTTTCTTTTCCATTCTTTTTTCCTGTTCCTTTTTTCTTATCTCAACAGCTTTTAGTAGGTTGTGAATATACTTGGGCTAAGGAAAAAAATTAAGATTATTTAGGAAAGAGTTGAAAATAATAATTGTTAACATTCTGTTATAATTTTTATCATGAATTCATTAAGACAGAAATGGCTAGTCCGAATAGAATTGTCTTCCTAAAATTCAATAAATTTACTAACAATGTTACTATTGAAATTGTTTTCAATAAAAATTTAAGTGTAGCAGAGATAGAAATTATTTATAATGCTACTTGACTTTTTTTTAATAACTTCAACCTAAATTTAAAAAAATTTCCCAGTGTTTTTCTCACTCTTTTCACTGGTATTCTCTTAATTCAACAAATATATGAATCAGAAAAGTTCCTACTAGTTTTTTTACATTGAGTGGAAATACGATTAATGTAGTTGCTTTAATATAATTTTTTTTTTTTTTGTCTTTTTCCGTGTCCAGCAACGGATCGCAACCCTCAGTGTTGCCCCCGTACCGGACCGGGGACCGGCAACGGGATTGCAACCCTCGGCGTTGCTCCCACGCCTCGCTCAGCCAGTGAGCGGGAACCGGTCTGTATGTGGGATCCGAACCCTCAGGTGGGAGCGCCGCCGCGCTTCCCAAGCGGCGCAGTATCCAGTGCGCCACCGGGCCAGCCCAATATAATTTTATACCATCTAGTAGATACTGTAAGATGTGAAGATCCTTAAAAATCAGACCATTCTGGGCCGAGCCCGTGGCGCACTCGGGAGAGTGCGGCGCTGGGAGCGCAGCAGCGTTCCCGCCGCGGGTTTGGATCCTATATAGGGATGACCAGTGCGTTCACAGCGCTCACTGGCTGAGCGCGGTGTGGCCGGTCTCAAAAAGGACCAAAAAAAAAAAAAAAAAATCAGACCATTCCCACTGCTTCATTTGATTAAAATAAATAAAAAATAAATAAAAATCAGTCTGTGCTTGTGAAAGAACAGAGTGATAGAAAATTTGAACTTATTTCGATCCCCGCCCCCCCACCAAATTTTTTTCAAACTGAAAATACAACCATAATATGTGTAGGCATATGATTCAGTTACGAGCCAGGAAGCAATAAAAAACGAGAAAATAATAAAACATGAACAATCATGAGGCACAGAAAGGATACAATTTGGTACAAAGAAATTCTAAAAAAAATTTCAAAAAACTATTTGCAAAGGTTTCAAAGCAATAAACAAAATTTACAAAACTGTTAGATAATTCACTTGGCTCCCGTTAGGATACTATATATAGGGTTTCCTGGGTCCTAAAATAAAATGTATAATATCTGGAACCAGGGGTTCTTCACATTTCAAATACCTAAAAGCTTTTTCTCAGATCATCCTCATGTTAAAATAAGATTATGATTAAAAAAATGTTGGTCAAGGTCAAAGAAAGTTTGTATTTCAGCTACAAACCTTTCGATCTTTTCCCAAAAGCAATTTGGGATTACTTTCCTCCTTTTTTTTCTGCATTTCATCATAAATACTGTCATATTCATACACAGTGGAGTCTTGGGCAAGGGCCTTCTGGATTTCCAGTTTGGTCTTAAAAAAAAAAAATTAAATGTATTTCAAAAATATGAGCCAGTCAATAGATACCAAAAAAGTCTGTATATATTTATTTTTTTAATAAAGTTCATAAATTGGAAATATAGTCATAAAAATTGCATTGATCACATTTTAGATAGAAATATGAATATAAATTCTAAAGCCAGGTTAGCTGGGTTTGAACCCTGGCTCTACACTTACTAAGTTACTTTGGTCAAGTCTGTTTAATCCTTTTGTTTCTTAATTTTCCTCATCTAAAAAAGTGAGGATAATAATTATATCTACTATCCAAGTCGTTGTGATCACCAAATGACTTAATAAACTTAAAACACTTAGGATAGAGCCCAACAAGAATAAGTGTTCGATAAACATTAGCTATTATAATTATCATATATTCATTTGTAAATAAATATAATTAACCATATCCAAAGTATGTGGTCCAAAGGTCCAAAGTATGACTAAGAAATATTTAACCCTAGGTTTGAGATGCCTACATTATATATTAAACATTCATATAATTTTTAGTAAATTGAATTGCGAAATAAAATGTTCAGTTTTAAAATAGGTAATAGTAGGAAATACTTTATAAATAGAAAATTGGGGATATTTTGTAATTAAACTATTTTTGCAATTTCAGTCATATAAAGTCTTCTGCCTTTGTTTATCAGGTTTCTTCTATCTCAAATATTCTTCCTCTTCTTATCAGTCCATCAAAATCTTGTCGAGGGTTTCAGGGAAAGCTCAATCTCTACATCTTAAATAGGCCATCTCTGAAGATGTCAACCCCCAATGATCTCTTTCTTTTGAACTCTGATGGACATTCTACACTGCAATTTTTAACTCTTAATAATACATTTGATGTTATTATTTTCTATTCATTTTACAAATCTCAGCCCCTTGTCCCATCTTGTAAGTTTCTGAGGTACATAGTCTACACATTTTAACTTTTTCTTGAATTGCTACATGCCTAATGCAATGTGGAACACAAGAGGGATCCTTTTTAAGTGACAGAGTGATATTATAATTATTCAAAGGAATACCTGATAGTCTCAGATTTTTACACATCAACATTTGACCCTGGAATGATGCACATGCTAACTAAAAAAAATTTTTTTTTCTGGAACACTGTTTATAATATTAAGAAATTCACATTATTTTTTACTTCTCAACATTTAAAAAACCAATGATTCTCCTGCCTAGCTAGCAAATTAGCACTACTGCTCCCTCCCTAAAACCAGTCTCAATAACCCAAAAAGGGAAACAAGACATCTAAGAACTAATAACCACCACCATCACAAAAAGCAAGGGAAAAAAAAGGGAGAGTAAAGGCTGTTTTAAACAGATGACCTGCCTTTGTATATGCTGGAACAAGAGCTACAGCAGAGCACTTTGGCAGACACGTTACTGCTAATTTATGTCTCAAAATATATAAAGCAAAAATTGAACAGAAACTTAAGAGAAAACAGACAAATCCACAATCATAATGAGAGATTTTAACATATGTCTCTCACTAATAGAATAAAAAATCAGTATGAATATGTAAGGATTAACACAACCATCCCAATGAACACATATAGAACATTTTTCAAGCACAGAGGGAATATTTATAAAAACTATAAACCATAGTTTTATAAAAACTATGACCAAATATATAAAAAAAAATAAAAATATATTTGATCATATAGTAAACCTCAACACATTTTAAAGACATAAAATAATACAGTGCAAGGTCTTGGAACCCAAGGCAATCTCACTAGAAATCAATACCAAAGAGGTAACCAAAATCCTCCATATACTTAGAAATTAAGTTATACACTTCTAAATAACACATGGATCAAACAGGAAATGGTAATGGAAAATTTTAAATATTTTGAATGAAATAACAAAAATATTGCCTATAGAAAATTTTGAGATGCAGCTACAGCAGTGCTTAGAGGGAAATGAATAGCTTTAAATATATAGATATCTTAGAAAAGAGAAAGGACTGAAAAACAGAGAGATATGCACCCATTCCAAAAAGTTATTTACCCTTTGAAGTTTCCCTTTCTGGGCAGATGAATTTCAAATAATTACACTTTGTTTGTGCATAGCCTTTTTTTTGGCAAGGAAACTCACTAGCAAGAATTTACTAATAATAAGTCAAACAATCCATTGTCAGACTGAGTCATCTGAAAATAGAACTGGTTTAATCTACAACACAGCAATAAAGAACTAATTCTTCATTGTGTTTTTCCTTTAAAATTTATACAGGAAATCTGTCATCTATACAGATCAAGAAATGTTCTTACACATTTTTAGAAAACAAAGGTCAAGATAAAATTATTTCATAATACACTCCTACTCTGTTTTAGTCTCAGCACTTCGATACCAAAAGTGATATGTGAGCTGAAATACTTCAGTGAATGCATTTCTCTCACTTCCACCTTACCTGTTTCATGGCCTGCTTCTTAGCAGCTTCCCTCTGAAGGCTTTCGCTCACAGAAGTCTATAAAACAGAAAAATGCTGTCATTGTTTAAATCAATTTAAAATTTCTTTTCCAGTATTCTGGCTGGCAACTGGTTCCCTATTTACAGTTAAAAGTGGAAAGATAATATTAGGAATTAAATTAACAATTTCAAGGTCTTTCCCGTAAACTTTAGGAAACAAATGAGTTCTCACTGTAAATCATTAGACACTAAGGTGTAGGAGAAGATAGAATGATAAAGGAAAAAATGTGGAAACACGGTTTTAGTCCTAACTTCACCACTAAGTCATTGAGTCTCTGTGGATTTCAATTTGCTGTGTGTGTGCGTGTGCATGTGTGTGCACACGTGCACGTGTATGTTAAATGGGGAAGACTAGACTAGACAACATTTCAGGTGCCTTCCAACACCAAAATGGTATGGTTCTCAGCAACAAAAAGCACATTATTTTTTGTCCTTTTTTTTTGAGACCGGCCGCACTGCGCTCAGCCAGTGAGTGCTGTGAGCGCACCAGTCATCCCTATATAGGATCGGAACCCGCGGCGGGAGCGCTGCTGCGCTCCCAGCACCACACTCTCCCGAGTGCGCCACAGGCTCGGCCCAAAAGCACATTATTTTAATATTCACCACTGAATATAGTACATCAAGCTCCAGGTTCATGCTTAAGGCTTCAAGGCAGTAAAAACTATCTGTGGCTTAAGTCATTCAAAAAATTTGTACTGAAAAACCTTTCATACCAGGCATTGTTCTAAGCCCTGACGATGGTGGAACAGCAAGAACAGCCTCTGCCCTTGAGAGATAAACAGTCTGAACACGACAAATAACTAAAGACACAATTACAATATAAATGAAAGAAGAGATAATAAAGGGATAAACAAATGGCTGTGGGAGGCTGCAGCAGAGAAGGCAACTAAATGTATAACGTAACAAGAAAGCCTTTCCAAAAGAGATATAACATTAGACCTGAATCAAAAAGAATAGAAATTTAAGAGAACGCAGGAGAGAGGTAGAGAGGTAGAGAGTAGTAACTACATGGGCAAAAGTAAACACTTACAGCTAAGAAAACTAATATAGTTATAATGCTTAAGAAAAAAATGTTTCCTGTTAAAGATTAAAGTTGAATGTGACCAAACTACACAATACAGTCATTAACTGATCAGTTTCAAAACTAGCAGGCAGGCAATTATTCTATGTCTGAAGACCAGTTCACAACACAAAAGAATAAATGTTATAAATATTACTACATATTATTTTATAAATCACAAATAATCATTAGCTTTAAATTAGAAAGACAAAAATTACTCCCTGTAAGAGCCTTTACCTTAAGGAAAAAATAATTCAATTTATAAATAGGTTCATATGCAAACATTCAAACTGTACTAAAAGGACAAAAACATACTATTTCAAAATAGGTTCTTTATAAAAATCTCAGGGAAATAAATGCCTTTTCAAAAACCTGAAGCAGTAGTTCCTTGCAAAAAAATTTTTTAACTTAATTCAGCAACATGTTCTGAGAACCTGCTATGTGTATAGCACTTAATTAAATGCTACAAAAGTTTAAAATCTAGTGGGAGAGGAGCTATATTTGGTCAACCTTTAAATTTTTTAAATCTAGTCTAAGAGTTAATAGGTTCCTATTAGCTTTTATTTTTTGCAGTTGGTCAGTGGGGATTCAAACCCTTGATCTTGGTGTTATAACACCATGCTCTAACCAGCTGTGCTAATTGGCCAGCCCTCCTATTAGCTTTAATTCCAAGTAAGAAATGAACACACACTGCTGCCCCCAGTTGCTGGCAGCAGCCTTCAGGGAGGCCCACAAGTGGGGATCCAAGCAGGGCTGGGCATGAGCCATCTGAGCACAACCATGGATCTAACAGCCCAGAGGACTGGAGTGGGGGAGTAGTAAGGATGGGGCCACAGACTGAGACTTGGTCTTGTGTGAACCCCCCCCTTACCCTGCCCTGCTCACCTTGGAAAAACACTGAGCAAGAACCCCAGCTACATCAAATTTTTCAAGATACAGGCAGCCCAGAGCATCTCCCAGACAATTGCTATACCACAGAGTCTTATCTGTCTCACTGCTGACAGACAACCTTGTGCTGAACCTACAAGATGAAAGTTTCACCCAGGGAAGTGACAACCTCAACAAAGGTAAGAAAAAAGCTGGTAACCAAGAACTCCACCCAGAGAGGATGTGGATCTGTTTCTCCTCCACTTTTGAGGAACCAGGTAGGGGGTCCAGCATACCTAACCCACCCCCAGTATCATATGATGGTCCCCTCTGCAGGTGTCCTCCCAACCCCTTTTGGATTAAGGAAGATTGAAGACCAACCCTTTTTTGAGGGAATTTTCCTGTAGTGGCCAGGAGTGTTGAGACACTGTGATTTCCTACAGTGCTGTTCCTTCCCTCAAGGTCGGGAGAGGATAGCCACCACGCCAAAAATTCTCAGTAAATTTTTATTACTTAGAAAAAGAAAGAAAGAAAAAAGAAATGAACACACAAAAGAAGGGAAGAAAATGCCTGGTCTATTTTATATTCACCACTAATAAATAATGATACTCTCTCCACACACACACACACACACACACACACACACACACACACACACACACACACACACACACACACACTATTACAAGGGTTAAAGAAGTGGTGAAGAATAGGCACCATAAATTGCAGAATTAAGAAAAACACTGCAACTGGATTTTCCTAGTCTTTTCTCTCTCCTTTGTTCTGTGTAGAGAATAAAATAATTTAATCAATCTAATTTCAATGCTTCACTGAACTGCAGTCAGATATAACCTGACTAAAAGGGAGACTTTTTTTAAAAAAACCTTTACAAATAGCTCAGATAAATGGAAGAGAAAGCACATGACTGTGTACCCTTCTTATGTCACTATACAAGTTTAGGTGGGTTGCCTCCTGGGCTGTGATAACTATCAGACGAGAAATATCTCTGTAAGTATTATTGGGATGCCTTCATCAATAAAATATAGTTTACTGACACTAAAAAAAATTATAGATACTAAACCATTACTTATATTATTAAATTACCTTTCTTTGGTCATAAGATTTTTAATTGAACAAAAATTTAGAAAAAGGTTCTGAATTTTTTTTTTGCAGAAATTAATCTGTCATTCCATAACTAATAGAGCACAATGGGGGGGGAAACCATATCCACTTAATCCACTTATCCGAAACAGCTCTTAGCTAAAGAAAAACAGTTCAAGAACCAATCCTTCTTTAAATGGCTTCCAGCTACAATTTTCTGTTGTGCTCTGAGAACTTAGAGACAAGAACTTCTTGTTCTTCCTTTTTTTAACTTAGCAACAGATCACTTATCAAAGGTCCCGCAACTCAACAATCTTTATTTGTCCCCATTTATACAATTCTTGCTAGTACAAAGCCTGTTTAAGCGTTGTAAAGAGTACATAAAATTTTTATTATATAAACTCAGACAAACACTATGACAGAAAAAAATAAGCATGGGTATGAACAGAAAATTTAGAATAAAGAAAATATAAATAACCATTAACTATATGAAAAAATGTTCAACCTTACCAATAATTAGAGATGAAAATGAAAATGTTAACTTCTATTGCCTATCAAGTTGGTAAATATTTTTAAATGATATTACCCAATACTGTCAAGGTATGACAAGCAAAGATGTACCCTTAAATTGTGAAAACATGGTAGAGAAAATGTGATTATTTTATCCAGAGCTGTGTGTTTAGAATGGTAACAAAAAAATTATACTTCCTATCCAAAAGATCTGAATGTATATTTTTGAAAAGTCTTATTTCAATAGTTCTCCTACTGATAACTCAATTAAACCCCAGAATTAGGACAAGGGCCTCATAATCTAACCTTCTTAAAATACCTTATCTAGTCATAAAAAGAGATCTTTTCCTCTATTTTCCCAATATTTAGGTTTTTAAAAATATGCAAATAATCAATAAATGCATTCATTTAAACAACTCCATAGGAAAGCAACAGGTTGATTTTTTCCCCCTTAACATGCATTAGAACATATTATAAAGACCCAGCAATTAAAACAGTATATAGGGCTGGCCAGTAAGTTCAGTTGTTTAGAGCATGGTGCTGATAATACCAAGGTCCAGAGTTCAATTTCTGTACTGGCCAGTTGCCAAAAAAATACAAAAGAAAAAACAAAAAAACAAAACAAAAAAAATACAAAAAAACCCTACCCTGTACATAGTATAAGTGGTACAAATAAAGTGTAAAGTAGATCCATGGAAGAGAGACAGAAATGGACAAAAGCATATAGAATATTAGTATAAGAAAAAGTGACATTTCCAATAATTGGAAAAATGATGGATTTTTAATAAATTATATGAAAACAACTGTCTAGTCTTTTGGGGGGGAAAAAAAAAATCAAAGCTGATTTCTTACCTCACCTCATTCCTTACAACAAACACCAAAATACATTCCAGGTGTTATTAACAGATCCATACTAAGGATGTAGAGCAACTAGAACTCTCATATACCAACAGTGGAAATGTAAAATGGCACAATAACTTTGGAAAAGAATTTGGCAATTTCTTAAAAATCTAAACATACACCTTATGTGATCCAGCCATTCCAGGCATAGGTATTTACCCAAGAGAAATGAAAGCATACGTCCATATAAAGACTCGCATAGAAATGTTCATAGCCATTGTATTTATAATAGCCAAAACCCAGCAACAATCCAAATGATCAGGTGAACAGATAAACAAACTGTACTATATTAATATAATGGGAACACTATTGGTACACACAATGTAAATTATCTCAAAATAATTATGCTGAAAGAAGTCAGATATTCCTGCCCCATCCAAAGCATATATTGCCTGATTCCATGCATGTATATAAACCCTACAAATGAAAACTATAGTGATAGAAAGCAGAAGAGTAGCTGCCGGGAGGCTAGAGGGGGATTGGAAAGGGGCAGGAAGGAGAAATTAAACAGGGTACAGAGAAACTTTTGGATGTGATGGCTATGCTCATTATCTTTATTG